ATATTAATAATAGTGACAATTACTTTTAGGCATTTGTTCATACCAGTCGCATGGAAATTATATAAGCCATGATAATTACCAGTTATAGAATGACTTAAAGTTGTCAAAAAAAAGTTACGAAAGGATTCACATGATGATTACTTGTGCATAATGAATATTACCAGTGCAGTTATCTGCATGAAGAGAACGTGTTTTTCCCCCAAATCCGTATTCATTCAGTGCATGATCGAGCATGCTTATCACAGCATTTGGTCCGTTTGTTAAACTTCCATCCTTTCCTATTTAGTATAATGTAATTTAAAATGCAAATTACTGTATCATTTTATTGGTGTAAATTAATTTTAAAAAACCGTAAAGTTGTCGCAATGCACACACAATCTCTCTCTCTCTCATGAATTAAAAACTAAAATGACAAAATTTGATACCTATCGTTTGGTCTTCGTCAATCAAAAAATTTAACTGCATACAGGTGCTATCTATTCGCACGCCAAAAAGTTGGACACGTCGTAGGTGCAGAAAGTACGTTGGACCCATTTGTATTGCATGGTGAGGGAGTAAAATAAAACGTATAGTGGACATGTTCCAGTTGATCACTCTGTCAATTCTCCATTTCTGAAACTGCTTCCTGAATACATTTTCTGTATTGAAGTCTCTCCCGTTTGGCTGCGAGTACGTGGTCTTCAAACTCTTTGACTGCTGTCAAGTTTTCTTCTGTCCTGGCATCCGCTATTTTCTTTCGGAAACGCTCGCATCTTTGGCATACATCATCTCTTGGACTACTGATCCGTATATGTGGCACGTACTTCATCCAAACATCTTCAAAAGACGATATCTTTAAGGTTCTGGTGTTGGACTCTTGACAAGATTCAAGGTACTTCTCATGAATGGCAAGCTTTGTGTCAGATGCTGGAAGGTAGATAGATAGTATACCATCACTGCCACATGGAGCTGCTGGTTGGGCAATTCCAAATTCCTCTGAGTAATTTTCAATATACTTCACAGCATTTTCGATTTCTGCAAACTTTAATGCATGAGCTGGTTTTCGCCCTGTATTTCCATGAACACGCGCTGTTGCACCATTCTTGTTCATATGAGTGATAATGTTAGAGAGCACTTTGCTACTGAGTTCGTAAATGACTAAAAATGTTTCTCTACACACTGTCTCGCCTCGGAATCTGTAGGAATATGTCATATTGTAATTTTTGAATTTACCGGGTGGTAGTAAATACAAAAATAACAATATGACAACTATTTTTGTATTTACTACCACCCGGTAAATTCAAAAATTACAATATGACAAATATCTCATCCGTTTTCTCTTTGTTTTTCTTTGTGTAATTTGCCCCAAACCTCCCCTCTGGAGCACTCCCATCACAAACATTTCTTTCTCTGCTTTACTCATTTCCCTCATCCTGAAAATGTTTTCTCTTATTTCGACATCCGAAAACATTTGAAAACAGTTTTTCAGACAACTACATGACTTGTGCACTCTGTTAAATTGACGTCATTTCTAGGTTTGACTCTGAAACTTCATCTGTGATGCCATCCTCATGATCTAAGTTTGATCCCATTTCATCCTCCTGTAAGTTCGTAAATTCCAATATTCTTCTTTCAATTAATGCATCTGGACAAACATGTTCGTCCGATTCAGAATAAGTGTCTTCCTCCTCTGGATTTGAATGTGCGGCATTCTCCGTGAGAGTCACTTGTCCAAAATGCTCCGTAAATAATCTATCCAGCTCCTTACAAGTAACCAAAATTAAATGTAATAACTTGAAAAGCTTATTAAATAAAAGACTTGTAAATTACATATTTGAATTTTGGTAATGATATTCAATATGAATTTTATTCATGAAATAAGAAAATGAACTCTACATAATTATAAACAAATTGATCTATCTCATTTAGGTATAAATGAAAGTGTAATATCATCACCTAACTTTTATGAAAGATATTTTTTTTTAAAGTATGAATTTCCTTTTAAATGAATACAATAAAGAATATATATATCTTAAGTTGATATATTGTATTGATATATTTTCATCATTTTACCGGATTAACATTTCCTTTAAAATAAATACAATAAATTAATATATTGAATTCATACATTGTTTAATATTTCATTATTTTACCAGATTAATATTCTTTTTTTCATAATTTTTCTATTGAGGTAAAAAAAAAAAGGTATATATTTTCTATTTATTCTATTTATAAATAAATTTTTAGTCCTAAAAGCAATTCTCATTTATATTCTGTTTATTTAAATACAACTTATTTTTACCTGTTTAAAAATATAATTGGTATTAGGTACAACTTTAATAGACCTTGTAATTATGGATAGGGCTTATGTAGGCAATGTCTACATGTATGTTTATTATATAATAAAATATGTTCAAATCAAACCAACCCTAAAAAGCAAATTAAAAAATAAATAAATAAAATAAGAAGCTAGACAGACAGATACCCCTTCATGACCCCCTAAGAATCAATCGCTTATTAGAGTTATCTCTCTTATTTTCAGTAAATTTTCAAGCATCGTTTGAGTGTACCCATTCAACACTGTACCTTATGGTTTATATTTTGAATGTGTACCTAATAAAAATATACTGGTACAAGTATTAATCCGATAAACCAAAGCGTCAGGCCTAATTCTTTTAGCATTACCGGTACACTAGTACTGTAACCCCGATGAAAAGTATTATTGCAAAAAATAAACATCTGCGTATTACACAATTTCCTCAAATTTATCCTGAATTGTTTTAAAACATGTCTAGACAGATTATATAATTTATTTCTGAGTGTGCTTTGTCTTGTTTACCTCAAATTGTTCCATGATATTTCTTCAGTATGTTTACAGCAGCAGTTGCTTCATCACTGCATCTGTTTACATGTTGTCATGTATGAGATACATGTGAAACTAGCTGCAATAATGTAGCCCTCTCCGTTTTTTTAATCTGATATTTTCAGGTGAGGGCTACAATTCCACTGCATCTTTGTAATGGTGCAAATATATTTTTTAGATACGGGCGACTGCAGGCAAAATAAATTGTTTTTGCATTCAACTTACTTCCAATAAGACGGAATTTTTATTCACTATCAACATCATAGCCCTTTATACGCGAAAACCGAGTAAAATAAATCTGCGTGTTTACCAGTCGTTCTCCTCAGCAGCCATGACAGTTCTCGCGTGATGTACTGAGACTTGCGCTTGAAATTTAGAATCACTTGATAAAGTAAATGTCGGTGTTGATAAATGTTTGTGTTGTATGATATCACTAAACAACGATAAATAAAAGCATTCCATGGGATATTTTTTCATAAACAGTGAGATTTATGCTTAAAATAAGGGAAATCCTAAACGATCCGCTCCCCTAGATTCCGAATTCTCATTGGTTGTCCTAAAATAAAATCGATCAAGGTTAGTAAACATGGCGGATAATTTCAAGTTGTGATGTTGACATACACGAAAAATAACCGATATACGGATTTTCTGTATATTTTTGGATCAGTTCATGTCTTGCATAACTACATTTTATGAATTCAGATAAGATATGTTAATAAAATACCCACTTACTGATAATTTGAGCCGAAATCTGTGCGGTAATGAATCACTCCCGCACTTGCACCATTACGGAGATCCTAAGGAGCTGTAGCCCCCCCCCCCCAAAAAAAAAAAAAATCGGAGAGGACTACATTATTGCAGGTAATGTGAAACGGTCCCGGTATTATATTCCGATAACACTCGATAAAGAAAAATAACTTACAAAAGAAATTAAAAGGTACATTCGATTTTATTAATGGACATTCACGTCTAGTTTATTGGTTTAAATCCCGCATGAAACATCTAATTTACAAAAAAAAATGCACTTTGTTGTGCTAAACACCGCGGTGGAAACGATGTGAATTTAACGTCATAACTTTGTAACGTTGTTTCTCTGTTCTCTGAAAATTGTCATAAGCACCCTTTTCTCATGGGCGCAATGATATACTGTAAGAAGGGTCCACAGTCTAACAGATGAACCTGTAAAATATGACAATTTTTGGGTCCCTGACAACAAGGCAGAATATCTGTAATGTACATGTACAAAACGAGTGTAACACCATGCAAAATACATTTTTGTAGTTCTTTATTTATATGAAGCCGGTAAAATCAATCAGTAAATCATATATTAATTGTTGACATACTTTGTATATTTCACTGTAAAGCTTTCATTTGTTCCTCTCTCAGACACCTCTGCAATGGGCTCGCGTCAATATGTTTCACATAAAGTTAAAAAATATACACTAGACAAAATTGCTAACGCACCACTTATTATTCTTATTTGAGAACTGATCATTTTCCTGATTGGTACTAGTATATAAAATATGCCATCTTTTCCAAAACAGTTGGATTGACAAATGTATTGGTGTCATGTCAAGACCCTTAAAGGACCTTCTTGTCCGAAAACCAATTTCCCGACCCGCACTGCGCACCGTTTATGCCAAGATATGAAGTTGGTGATTACCGATGGTTGTCCGTGACGTTGCGACGGGAGCAGTCTCCCACTTAAAAATCAAATGATATACCCTGATTGACTACCATATCGCTTAGTAGTCATCCAGTGCCTTGGTGTCCCTACCAAATCCACCCAACTTCCGGTTGCCCCAATTTTGTGGAACAATCTTGAAGTAATTGTGTGGTGCTTACTTAATGCCGTCGATATCTATTGTAAACATTTTTATGATCATCAATTTATTTTCAACAATTTTTCACCAAAGAAATGCATAATCTTTTAATTGTTTTAATTTTTCACAAATTTCTTCAAAGCAACCCCCTGCAGACACCATACTGGCTGCCTAAGCACGCTCTTCTAGAGTCAAACGCCGCATACGGTTTAACTTTTTTTCTGAGTTTTTAATTAGTACAAACATAAAGAACACAACCACAAAGAAAAAATTAGAAATTTATTCCACCAAAAAAGTATGGATATGATTTTAATTTTTTCTATGAATTGGTTACACTTCAGTAAACATTGCTGTTATATATCAGTTAAAACATTTAAATGTCTCATATTTTATCAAAGAAACTAAATTATATATTAAAAACATCATAAACAAGTTTTGAAAAGAAAAATGTTAATTTATTTAGGTGGTGCGTTAGCAATTTGGTCTAGTGTATATATTTTCATAGGATTTAAATTAAACTAATAGTTCTTGATCTGCTTAGTACATGTAAAAATCTACCTTAAGGACCCTCTCTACAATAAACGAAAATGTTTTTTGGACATTGTGAAAATTATATATTGCATAAAGGTGTAAATATTGAGCTTACTTATATCATTTTCAACATAGGGTGCCTGTCTTTTACCCCCAGGAAAAAATGTTCAAAGTCAACAAAGTTTTGATGAACAGAAATCACTGTTTTTTATCTAAGTGGGGAAAAAGAATGCAGATGAGGTTTTCAGTTAATTCATCTTGGCCTTTCAAAATGTCAAAAATGCTTGAATTGATTAGAAATTGATAGATAAATTGTAAATTTCAATTTATTTTATTTTAGGTCTAAGGGCAGATTACTCTAACTACATAAAAATACCACAGAATCGGAACTCTTTTGTGTGCAGTGTATAGAGGGTTCTTAAAGGACAAATATTAGCGCAGGCATTTGATTATACTGAATTAAAATAAACGCACTATTTCTTGTGCTTTTCACATTGATATAAAGGGGAGAAGGACGGAGTTGAATTATTTGCCAATGGTAGAGAGGGATACATTGTCTGACACACATGAATGTAACAAATTCTGAAAGAAAAAAACACCTTGTACTGTCCAGAGATATCACAGTTAGAAACACAGGGATTTATTATGCATGAAACTACTTTGCTGCTAGGAGTATCCATGTAAAAGACATTTTCAACTTCATAACATTAGCTGATATTCATAATAAAACTAATTAGTGTTAGCTACTAAAACTTGTATTGTAACTGCTTGATCTAAACTTTTGTCGGGTACAGAACAAATTATAAATTTCCTCCCTATACTTTTCGTTGTAAATTCCGTAAATGACCGGGTTTACAAGATTGTTTAGATATACAGATTTTGTAACCACTTCAAATGCTGTTTCATTAAATGTCCCCTCTTCCAGAACTCGTTTTAAAAGTTCAAACAATAAAAAAGGGAGATAACTTAGCACAAACACAACAGTTATTGTAATAAATAAAACATTCGATTTAATGGGACTTGCTTTCTCTTTTAATGACTGTTTTCTCTTCTCATTATCTTTACAGTCTGTTATGGAGCTCTTGGTACTTCTTGTCGAGTTTGCCAGGTTGATGTCCGATTGCTGAATGGAACTGTTTGGATTTCGATCTTGTGAATCAGTCTGAGTCTCACATTCTATGAAATCAGATGAATTGTGGTTATTTTTCGTATGATTTCTGATTTGCTTATTTTCTGAATCAAATGATTCTCCTAAAGAAACTGATGAAATACTGGTGTTCTTTGAGTTTGCAGAATGAATTTTGGCAGAATCAACAGATATACTTCGAGGCAGTTTGTGTCCATTTTGGATAGACATTGCGAGGGCATCTCCTATAATGGTATGCTTCCACTCGTAAATCGCAATTGCAATTTTTATATACAAGATACCCAGAATTATAAACGTTGAAAGAAATATCACAGCTAAGAACACATAATAAATAACTGGAAACTGTGTGTCTTTTACAAAGTCGTCATAAGAGCAGTCTTTTCCGTTCACATCTGGAAATATTGTAGGTATGGTTTTTGTTCCAAATACGAACAGCGCAGGCGCAGAAACCACGAACGATATGACTGTCACTAATAAAATCAACATCCGAGTTTTCTTTCTCGTGTAACTTTTATACGGAGGTTTTGTAATTTGAAGTCTGTCGAACGCAATCAAAACTAGAATTAAACCAGAAGTGATGTTCACTGCAAATGCCAGCGTGCGGGATATTTTGCACAAAGTTCCTTCTCCATACAACATTGGAAAGCGTAAGTCAAAGGCCTCAAATGGAATTGTGACACAACAAGAAATCAAATCGAACACAGCCAACCAGGTAATAAAGATGTTCTTGGAGGAATTGGGACGCAAACACCATCCATATACATAAATCACAAGTCCATTTCCAACCGTTCCTACGACCATGCTAATTAATAAGAAAACTATAGCAGGTTTATTCTTTTCGAACAACTTTTCGTTTAAATACCAGAGAACATAGTCTGCAGGTAAAATTGATAGTGTTCTGTTATTCGTTGAGTTCACATCCATCGGTGCTTAAGGTTATACCTATCATGAAAAGAATGGAAAATATACTAACGTGAGTAATTTGCCAGATGCGATTATGGGATGGGGAAATAATTAGAAAATGTGGAGAAAATAATTGATAAATTTCCTTGATCAGTTGATCTCACACTTGAGTTATGCATGGATGTTAAAATTGGACATTGACTTAAGTATATTTAAAAAGGCACATATATGTATTTGAAACTAATTCTATCATTGTAATCTAGCGATATTTCCGTTGTTCTAATGGGATTTCAAATACTTATCAATTTCCTTAAAACATACCAAAGTGTTCAACTATCTTTTTATATCCTTTTTGAAAATACTAGTAAAGGTTTATTTGCCCTATTTCCAATTGTAATTATTGATTTCAAAGTTATTTAGAACTTCCGATAGAAAGCAATGACAACTATTAACTAACATCTGTGTTTACAGAAATCGTTGAATACATGAAAACAACATTCAGCTCAGTGTGTGAAACTTGAAAACGCCATGATATGAAAAAGATTTGTAGTCATTTCTTTACGACAACAAAGCATATGAAGGTGAATCCTAAAACTCCAATTTCCCAAAGATCTATCTGGCTTCTCGAAGGCTACATGTGGCCGAGGGACCCATGACAAAATTCATTTGTTTTTATGGACTGACTGCAGCGATGTCGTTCCGGGAAATTAATCCATTGTTTTTCTTATCTTTCGACCAATCACATAAAGCCCTTACGTGACAAAAACCTTAACAGGTTAGGAACAATCGCCAGAATGGGAAATAATAGCCCGTCTGGGATATAAATGAACAGTGCAACAAATTAAGATTTTTCAGATTTTAGCTATAAATATTATAAATCCGCATCAAAATACTTAAAAATGCAATAACTTCTGGTTAATAATTTTTTTTTTGTTTATATTAGGAGATTGATCCCTCGGATGATCCTAAACTTCTTGAGAATCAATATCATAAAATATAGGATTATAGAAAAACTTGCTTGGCAAAAGTTATTTCATTCGATTTTATATTTTTGAGGATTCGCAATAAAAATTTTCTTCTTTGCACCGTAAATTTATACCAAACAAGATGTGTTTGTGAAACACTATGCCCCTGATGGTAACACAATTCTGGAGTGGGACGTAGACTACAGTGCAATAGTTATGGCCAATGTTAAAGTGACACTGTGACGGACAAACGGGAAAATTGACAACAGTAGAATTTTTGCATGACACATGCAAATTTTGTTCAGTTCTTGAAGATATTAAGTTTCAGAAAATTACACATTTCAGAACCTAAAAAATCTAATGGAGAAAAATAAAAGTAAAAAAAATCTTTGTATAACCCATCACAAAAATATTGCTTCACTTCTTCCTCTTTATTGTACGCATGCGCTGAAAAGTTGAAGAATTTACCATGGTTTCAATTCCATAGATATAAATGTCGGATGACTGAGAATTTTGATACAATCTTCAAAAAAGATGATCATAACTTAGTCTTATTCCTTACTTCTGCTTGCCCCAATTCAATGTTGTTTACAAGTTTCACGCTAAAAATAAAGGACGCGTGACCTTGACATTGTAGACATTGACGATTAAAAACAAAGCGATAGATACAACATTTGTTTTTCCGGCACTTATATTTAGCAGTTTTTTTTTCTTGCTTTACAGTGCAGTTGAGTTGTCAAAACTTCGCTATATTCATATTTCACAGAAATCTTTTGGTTTGTGATACAATTTTCTTAAAAGAAACACATGGTTTTGACTGATCGTGCAACTTTAAAGTTTTTCAAATGTAGGTCAAAGGTCACAGTTGAGGTCACATGATCAAAAATTTCTGTGGAAAGGTCTTGTCATAATGAACACTCATGTCAAATATTAAAGCCTTACCCTTGTCAGCGCAATAGTTATGGGCTAGGTTAAAGTTGACAAGAGACAGACAGACAAACAGACAGACAGGACAAAACAATATACCCCCGGGATCTTTCGATCCTGGGGCATAAAAAGATGGGTGAGCAAAATGTTTATTGTGTGACAAACAAGTGAAATATCAAAATTAATATGAATTATGACAAAATTTTCTTTGATATTTCATTTAACATTAACGTAAAGGGTGCGGATCCAGGTCCACCTCAGTCAAAAATATTCCAATCCAGAAATTTCTTGACAAGCAAAAAGGAAAAAAAATCCTTTTCCAAATGTATCTAACCTAGAAAATTCTTCGAAAAAAAATTTGTTTCCCAAGCTTGAAAAAAAAACCTATTTCGTGGTTGTGGTGGGGTCCAAGTTTTCTAGGGGGGTTCCAAGGTCATTTTTTATATTCACTTTAGTATAATACTTTTAATAACTGCAAATCCCCCCGACCCCCCCCCCCCCGTTTGAAAATTAGGTCAAATTTGAAGGTAAAGGTCACGGGGTCAAATATCATAGCACATTCGGAAAAAAAAATTGACACAGGTAATGCACTTGTCTAATATAAAAGCCCTATCATTTGTCATTCAAAAAAAAAATCAGCAAAGTTAAAATTTTTGAAAATTAGGTCAAACATGAAGGTCAAGAATCATAGCATGCTCGGAAACACCATCTCACCGGTAATGCACATGATAAACATGAAAGCCCTTTCTATTCTCAATCAAAAGTTATAAGCAAAGATAAAAATTTTAAAAAGTAGGTCAAACTTCAAGGTCACGGGGTCAAAAATAGTAGTTTATTTGAAAAGGTCTTGTCACAGCTAATGCACTAGTCAAATATGAAATCCCTATCTCTTCCCAATCAAAAATTATAAGCAAAGATAAAATTTTTGAAATGTAGGTCAAACTTTAAGGTCAAGGTCACGGGGTAAAAAATTGTAGTATATTTGAAAAATGTCTTGTCACAGGTAATATACATGTGTAATATGAAAGCCCTATCTCTTCTCATTCAAAAGTTATGACCAATTTAAAGTCATATATGGCGTATTTTTGATAAGTTTTGACTAACTAAAATTAAAAAGATCTTTCTATATCTTTTATTACTTTATATAAAGTTAGGTCTTTCCTGTAAATTACACAATTTAAATCAATCGGGTTTCATAGATATTAGAAATTTAAAACAATAACCGATTAACCGATTTATTTACCGACTCCGCATTTAAATATCGGACACAGTTTTAAACCAATTTAACTTTAGAAACGTGGGGTTATTCAAGTTCAGAATCGGTGAAAATTTTAATTTGAACGTAAATAACAAATATAATGTTCATGTACACTCAATCTCGTATTTGTATTTTTTAGCTTAGGTACGCCATATATAGCTTTAAAGTAATGTTAAAATTTTTGAAAAGTAGGTCAAACATCAAGGTCAAGGTCACGGGGTCAAAATTCATTGCATATTTCGAAAGGTCTTGTCACAGGTAATGTACATGTAAAATATGAAAGCCCTATCTCTTATTCAAAAGTTATGAGCAAGGTTAAAGTTTTTGTGACAGACAGACGAAATTTATTTCCCCTCGCTTTCGCGAAAGCGGGGGACAAAAACACATGAAAAGCACAAAAATGACATGTAAATTTTAACAGGAAAAAAACATAATAATTATTATAGTTATTTGTCGTAAAATTTTTTTCCCTTTTTATCTTAATGTTTATGCACTATCGCAGGCAAATAAAAGGACTGTTTACTGTGTCATCATGTTAAAATTAACTTTAAACTAAAATATACCATATTATATGTAAACTCGAGCAGGAAGTCTAAATCACTGGAACCATTCTGTGACTAGATGCAATGAGCTGAACATCATGCTATTCTTGTTCTCAAGTTCATTTTGTGCCAAAATTAAGTTTACATGCATTGGACAATTCGATCAGTTACTATTATTAATTGCTCGGATGAGCCAGAACAAACTTGAAAGTTTGAATTAAATCAATGTCATTTTGCGCACTGGCCTACACAGTAATATCGGGAGTCAAGATATACATGTATGTACACTGCTTTAAGGACATACGCAACGTAGTTTGAACTTCATTGTCTTTTTCCCTGGAGTTGAAGAGTTCCAATACTTAAAGGAACTGTGTTCTACATTTTATTGTCTATATATGCAGTTGTACACTTCTTCTAAAACAAGTTTGCATAAACAAAACATCTAGAATATATGTTAAGTAATTTTTGTATATTTTTTTTTGAATTATACAAAAAATTTCATAAATTGGTATCTTTTCAAAACCCCTGGTTATGCATGCTCATTTTTTGTCTACGAACATCTGATGGCAATATAATCTTAAATTAAGATTATCTTGAAAAATTATCAGTAGGTAAGGTACGTTGCGTATGTCCTTAAATATACAGTAAATAAAGTGATAACGCGCATATCTCCTGTTGAATGTAAAAGAAATATCATCCTTTTAGATATGAGACCTTTGTCAAGTTATCAAATACACATTTTATCACTGCATTATGAACACTGCCTTTCATACTAGCTTTACACTGATGGCCGTTATACATGTACGTCTTAAATTGCCTTTGCGACCATCAAAGAGAATACGTTTAAAATCCACTTTTGTATTCACAGTTTAACACAAAAAAGGATCTCATGAAATACCGCCCCTTTTATGAAAGGCCCCATGGTGTCCGCACATTTATACATAACTGTCATGTATTTTTAGTTTGTTTTTATATAAAAGATAAAGATATAGACTGATTCTATAAATAAAGGTATTGAAGCGTAAACAGTAGACAATACCTAAAATATAAAGTTCATACATACCGTATAATCCTGTATGACTACCAACACACATTTGTACCTGTAGTGAATGTGAAAAACACGTGTGTTTATGTGATTTTTTTCCCTCAAAACTATGTATCCAGTGTGATAAAATGGTATCTAGGCTAGTAATAATCAACAACAGAACACATGGCGGCTCCTCACGGTGTCTTTCCTGAGTGTTTGCATTCTTCGCCCGAAGTGAAACATATATAGTTTAAATGTCACACAGACAAAAGGACAATTACAGATAATTATCAAATTTTAACAATGTACATTCAAACATCGGTTTATATCCTGACAAACTGTTATTGCATTTATTTCCTTGAATCACTCTGCGTAACATGTAGGTGACTATCACAGAAATATTACCTCTCAACTTTTGTCAGCACTTCTGGTTCGGAAAAGGTCCTTCAAATCAGTGAAAATATGCACAACTCTTAAATATTTCTAATTCCTGTGATAAAGTGCCTGTTACAAAACACTACAAACACTCTACTTTCATTATGTGCAACGTAAAAAGGAATCATTGCTCAAAATTGCCAAATATAATTATTAGAAAAACCGACATTTCAAATTTAGTTCCTTCTTTTTATTTTTTTTTAAATGGACCATTAAAGGTCAAAACACATCAAAAACTTTTTTGTATGAATGTTTACAGCGTTATATAGGACCCCTCTTCCGATTTACTATGTATTGACATAGAAAAAAATAACTAATTGAAGGAGGTTTGATATTTTTCATTAAGTTGTATCACAGAAATAAAATATTTACATGTAACTGTAAGTAATAATATATTTCAAATAATTTGTAAACTAGATGTGTTTGTGAAATGCCAATGCCCCCGTATGGCAAGTTATAGCGAAGCTTAATAAATGCGAATCAAATACGTTAGTACTCAAAGTAAGGTCTTGCATCGGGCTAAATACATGTGAAATATGAAAGCCCAAGCAGCAACCATTGGAAAGATATGAAAAAGGTTAAAGTTTTTCAAAAGAAAGACAAACATCAAGGTAAAGGTCAAATGGTCAATATTAATGGTGCCCAAGGAAAGGCCTTCTCACAAGAAATACACATATGAAATATGAAAGCCCTAGCACCAACTGTTCAAAAGTAATGACCAAGGTTAAAGTTTTTCAAAAGTAAGTTAACTCCTGGGTCAAGGTCAAAGGGTCAAAGTTGTTGGTATCAAAAGGAGGGTCTTGTCACAAGGATTGCACATGTGAATTATGGAAGCCCTAGAACCAATTGTTCAAAATTATGGCCAAGATTAAAGTTGGGTAAAATTTAGCAAAGCTGGAACAAACTCCAAGGTCAAGGGCAAAAGGTCAAATATGATGGTACACAAAGGAAGGTCTACACATGTGAAGTATGAAAGCCACAACTCCAACCAATCAAAAGTTATGGGCAATTTTAAAGTTTTGCGGACAAACAGGCAGACAGGGAAAAGACTATATGCCCCCGAATCTTCGATTACGGGGGCATAAAAAAAGTTGGTTTCCCTGTTTAAAATGATGGTTAAAATTATGAATTTATCTTATCTCTCCAAGTCCATTTTAATACAGTGAGTATAATAGCCCAAAAATACTAGGATGAAGATATTCTGCTTCAAAATATATTTTTTCTCTACAGTCTTTCATTGATCTGAATATATTAAATTTCTAAATTATTTCTCTTCGGTGATCTTTTATGATTTTTGTTTCTCGTCATTATCAGGACCTACTTAAAAATTATTTTAAGTCGAACTTCAAAAGCAATGTAACATATTTTATAAGCATGTATATGAACCATGAGTTGTCTTTCTTGTAGTACATCCATACTGACTGGCGACCAGTTTATGCAATAAAATGCACATCACTAGGACTTTCTGTCTCATTAATATGTTTGCAAATCTTCAAGGTGTTTCCCACATGGTTTTATTTTTGCCACATTACATGTAGCTCCGATAAAAGCACTTAAGTACTTAGTATTTGGGGGGGGGGGGGGTCTTTTTTGCCAAACATATATTTCTTATATTGTTTATTGGAAGACTGGTTCCCCAAACACCCTTTCTGTCGCAGAATGGTTAATGACAAATTCACCCATGGTAATGCATTCTAATTTTTTTAAATAGCCTCTCTCCATAATTTCTTTCCCTTAAGTCCAGTCAGCCTCAAACTTTACCAATTGACTTAAGGTACAGAACATTTGTGATTTTCCTTCCATATTTTGATAGAGGATATGCAACAATTTTCATAGAGGATGTGCACCATTAGTGATTTTTGTGCCGTTTTTTGATAGAGGGTATGGAGCACTCGTGATTTTTGTGCCTTTTCGTATAACAAGGATGACATAGAAGCCATTTAGACTCAAAACAACACATCCCTTAATAGCACACAAATGTTCCTCTTCAAAGTAAACCCTTTTCAGCTACCTTACATTTTTATGTTGAAAGCGGGGCCCTTTGAGAGGGCCACCATCTCAATGATATCTAGTTTGTTTTAATTTTCGGGAATAAAATAACAGTGTATTCACCAAAAATATTTTAATCCTACATCAAATTGGAAGCATAATCTGCATAATAATATTAATAGTATAATCAAGTAATTTTCTTGAAGAGTGAAGTTACACGAAATTTAAGAAAAGCTCACACAAAAATTTGTACACACTAATTATAATACACGTAATTACAAAGACAAAGCTGTTAAAGCGACAGCAAACCAATTTTTCTTTTGTGTGAACAGTACTGCATGGTATTTCTCACATAAATTATAAAAAAAAACTTTCTACCCTGAAAACTGTAGGAAGTGACCTCCCGATTATATCAATGTACCTTAAGAAAATATTTTGCATAAAAACGACTAATAACTGGTATTTTTCTCATAAATTATCACCATTAAAATCCAAGTACCATGCATATCTGATACATGTAATAAATATAAGGAGATAACAAACAGTTTCAACCTCAAAAGTCCATTCAAACAATACAAATCAGGAGCAGAGCAAACACGAACCTCTAAAACATCAGACATGGGATCAGTGCCATGGAGGAGTGAGCATCCCCTGCCAACCGGTCACACTCGCCGTGTAATCCTTGTCATGATCGTGAAATAACGGAAAAATCCGTCAACTAGTATGAAAAACGTTAGTTAGCATTTGACTTAATGATAGATTGTACTTGCTGACAAGGTCAGTTGTCATGTATATATTTCATTAAACTGCAAAATAAAAACTTACCATCTTGAACAAAAAAACTGTAAGAAGAGTTATCCGCGGACAAATGATGTACCACATAAGCTATATTTTGCATAAAATGACTAAGTTAAGGTCTACAACTGTTATTTTTCTTCTGAATTATTAAAAATCGAAATCCAAGTACCAATTGATTTGCAAAATAAAAACTTCCTATCTTGAATACTGTATAGGAAGAGCTATCCGAACAAACGATGTACTTTTTTCGCAGCCGCCAGTCATTTAAATAACCGGATTTTTTTAATGGAAAATTTGTTAATAACTTCATAATGCACTGAAAGTAACTAAAACTTTATAAAGAACTCAAATTGCAAATGTATCAATAAAGTTAACGTTAGTATGACTTCTTCGTAATACATTGGCTTTCAGATTATTAAACATATATATCATTTTTATCACATTACCTCTTTATCCAGTGGATACTGCATGTACTCACTGGTTAAAATTTCATATTTATTACCGTAACAATTGCCTGTGCTTTACTCATATTTAAAGCAACCTTATGAAGTTGACGTTGTTACACTGCGTAAAACAACCGACTTAGTAAGGGGTAAAAATTATAAAAAAAACATGTAATAAAACTAAAGTACATTAAATGTTTTGTCAAATTAAAGGTCACTTGGTACATTTTTTTTTTCTCAAAATCACGAAAATGATGGAATGCATATAGTAAATCTATGTTAAATAAGAAATAATAACTTAGCCATATTAAGTTTTTGTTAGATTTCTCAGTAACGTCTTTAGAGTGATAGAAATTGTAAAAGTGAGAATTTTACATTATCGGATTAATTAAAAGTTTACAGGTAGAAATGGCTTCCAATTCGATCTTTAAAATCATGATCTAGTGAATTTTAGATTTTTTCCGATCTGCATATTCTTATTTTCAAGTGTTGAAATGAAAACAAATTTCAGAGCATTTGCATTTACAGACGTTGCATATTAAGTACACCTGTTCAAGGTCAGGTTTGAACTACAAACTTGTGCAGCAATGACAATTAGTCCAACATTACAATACAATATACAAAGTTAAAAAAAATCCATATCTATGTAGTTTATGAATATGGTAACAAAATCAATAAAAAGTCTTATTTGCAATTAAATGTTTCTTATAAACATTATCTACCACTGGAATTTGTCGTCATGAACTTCCCACAGAACGCTGATAATGAAGACAGAACCCTATCATTTTATTAACGTCACATCAATTGGAGACCTATCAATTCAATACAGATCAATTCATTCATGGAATAAAAGAAACAATAAAACAGTCCCAAAACAAGTCAAATATTGACAGATAAAGTCCAATGCATATCATTTCTCAGCGTCGTTCTCAAAATATCAATTTCTATTCAGGCCGATTTTCACTGCCTTTATTTCAAACGGAAACTAAACGCCATGACAACACTACAAGCGTATTATCCCACCAAGAGATGCTGGAGTTATGACAGCAATTACTTAAATGTCTGTTGATTCATTCTTCGATTTACAATTAGCCTTTTCCATCAGAAAGAAAAAAAAAATCGAGATGTTTAGAGTAATCATGCATGCAGTACAGTGCACAGTCTTATTTTTAAATTACTCAATATCTCTGAGAAAATGTTATGTATATTTAAATTGAAGTTATTTCATTTTTATTTTAATTTAAGATTTTTTTTATTTTGATACATTAATACCGTTCAATTAATAGGAACATCGCTTAAAAATAATAGGACATGCAAAAACAAGTTTCTGTTAAGAACCCAATTGAAGCAGGTACTTATGATTTTCGGTAATTATTATGAAGCTCTATCAGAACCCTCTGGTAAAACAAAACAGCATCAAAAATAATCTAATCGTAAAAGTGGAATATATTGCAGTGTTTTTAATTTCACTATATTCGCGATCAAGAATTTCCGCGAAAATAAAGCCATCGTGAATATTGTTGACACATCAATATACACGTTAAAATCCTGCTTTTCTATTTCGTATCAGCAAAATAGTAAATAATTGAAAATTATCAGAATTTGAGCGTACATACGTTCAATAACAATGTCGGGTTAAAGTTAGTTTCTGTATCTGTTTATTTTAAATAATTTACCATA